TGGAGGCTGGCGAGAAAGGAGAGGGAAGATTGGCAAAAGCAGCTTTAGCTTTGAAAGGAGATCATACCTGATGAGGATCAGCCCAAGCTCATCTAATCCCCCACCAGGAAAGGGATAGCAGAGAGCAGGCACTGACTAAGCCAAGCCATCCAGCCAGGCTTGGCTTTTAAATTCCCGACTGATGGCAAGGCTTGATTGATAAAAAATCCCGCAGGTGACCGGGATCCCCACCAGAGCAGAGGGTGGGACATGGGGCTGGGGGATGCAGCCCTTTGGTTCATCCCCACCCATAACCAGTGTTACCCCACTGGGACACAGCCTGGACCCTCTCCCCCACACCTTTTATTTTGGCCCTCTTCCCTGCTCCCCCAGCCATGGACCTTCGGCTCTGCTCCACGCTTGCTCCCGACCCACGTGCCACCATGCAAAGGCCGCGTGAAGCTCGGCGGGTTTATTTTAGGAGGCACCATGACCCCCAGGCATGTGAAAAGCAAGCAGCATGCACTCTCCTGCTTGGCTCCGCAATGTGTTAAGCCTCAGCAAAGCATTCCCGGCAAAACGGCGTGAGCTCCAAGGATGCCCTGAGCCCGTAGCTCTGCTCCCATCTTTGGCCCAGGGCCCGTACCAGGGAGAAGAGTTTGGGGTGGGGGGAGCAGGGGCAGGCAGCCCTCCTCCTGCCTGTCGCCTGCCCATCGAGAGAGGCATTCTGTTTGCCAGCATTCCCCGCTGCCAGGTCCCTCAGCATCCCTGCAGCCGAGCATCCTGGCTGCCTGCACGCCATACGACCGCTCCAGGCATCAACACACAGGCTAAAAAACTTAAAGAATTAGTGTGGATTAAAGCAGAAAGTCTATTTTTTCTCTTCTACACTATAAACCCCCATATAATTCCCTAACCTATGGGGCCAGGTTTGGGGTGGATTTGTCTGAGCAAGCCCTTACCGGGTGCTGGAGGGTCTCTGCCAGAGCTGAGCTTAGAAACAAATGCCCTGCAGGCAGGCAGAGCTCCTACCCTCCTGCACCAGACATGGAGCAACCCCTCATCATACGGCTGCAGGATCAGGCCTCCTTTCTGATGGTGAGTGTGGGATCATGCGAATGGTTTCCCCAATGGCCAAAGCATTAAATGAGCAATCATTAAAGTGCCCAAACAAATGAACTGCCATCAAAGGATAGGGGATCCCCTCTGAACACTTCATTTTCCTTTTTGCAGGCAATTAAACCTCCCTGCGAGCTGCTGCAGGAAGGCATGGCTCCATCCATCCCACTGCAGTGTCACTGCACTGCTGGTCCAGATATTGCGATTAATCCGGATTAAAGAGCATGAAGGAGAGCCCGGGATTGGCTCCACACACTGACCCAGCTTTCCCCAACCCTCTCTTTCTTTAAAAGTGTTTGAACTCACATCACCAAGTAACCCACAGGCTGGTTAAAAGAGGGTGATAAACCCATCTGCCACTGCTGTGTCCCTCTCTGGGTGACAATCTGGACCCAAGAGCCGCCCTGTGAGCGATGCACGGGAGGCTCTGGGTCAGAAGAGCCCTTTGCAAGGGCTGGATGATGCAAGGAGGCAGGACCACTTCGGCACGTGTCCCCAGCGGGCTTTGCTGTGACACAGATGGGAGAAGGTGGCTGGAGCGTGGCAGCGCTCGCTCCTTCCCGCTGCAGCCGAAGCCATGCCGAGTGACAGAGGCCACCGCCTGAGCCAGCCCCGCGCTGCCAGGCTGGGGACTGCTCGCTTCGTGCCTCCTTCCCTTCAGCCTGTGCAGTGACATTTGGGCAGCGCTTTGCAAGCCCTGACGCAGAAGAGACTCGCATCCACCCCAACACAAAGCTGGGGCACCCCCAGCTCCAT